AAAAGTCCTGGCCACTCTGCAACAAACACGGAGAAAAGCAAAGGCAACCATATATCACACCCTGCCGCAAAAGCTGTGGCTTTGCCAAGCTGTTCTACCCTAAAATTAGTGTTCACTTCAACCGCTATTGGTGATTTAAAAGAAATAACTAAGGATGCTCAACAGAACGCCACCTTTAAGGAAAAGAAAAGACGATCAAATCAAATTGCAAATTTGACTCGACTATCCATCTTTGGTCTGGGTCAGATGCATGGCCTGTCCTTCCTGATTGTGCACAGAAAACTACTCCAAAATTAGTTCGTGAAATGACCCACTGGAGCACAGAAAAAATGACAAATTGGGGAAAACAATACTTTTTGGAACCCTTCCCACAAAGTTGCATCTGAAATCTATCAGCATTGTCCAATCTGTCCAAAACATAAATCTGAGAAACCTATTCACAATTCCATGGGGCACTTCCCACTGCCTTCAGGACCCTTTGAGGTATGCCAATTGGATTTTATCCAGCTGCCACCCTCTCAAGGATGTAAATATGGGTTGGTAATGATTTGTATGTATGCCCATTGGGTAGAAGGCTTCCCCTGTCACAGAGCCACTGCATCAGCAATAGCCAAGTTATAATTAGGAAATATCAACTCCCAATGGGAGAATCCCATCTGAATTGCACAGCAATCGACGGACCCATTAGTGGGCAAATAATTAAGACAATTTTGATATTTGGCCTATGTTACATTTTCATTAGTAATCAGGATTGGCAGAAAGGACAGATGGTATAGTTAAAACCCAACTAGCTAAATTTAGAGAAGGCTTTAACTCACCCTGGCTTAAGTTACTGCCAATTATATTGTTAAATTTACGGTGCACACCTTTCAAAAGACATAAATTATTGTCCTTTGAGATCGTACCTGGGAGACCTATGAGATTAAGTTCAGGAGTTCATGAACCTTTATTAATTAAAGGATAAATGCTTGAATATTACAAGGGGTGATAGAGGCCTTAAAGAAAATGCATGCTTGGTAGAAAAGTTCTCCTACAGAGTGCTCCCAGGAGACAGACATCCTACAGCACCACCTTAAACCTGGAGATTCTGTCTATTGGAAAAGACATCTCCATAAGGATCCTTTATAGCCTCAATGGAAAAGACCCTACCAGGTTACCTTGGACAAATCCTTGTGCAGTTAAACTCAAAGGCATTGATTCTTGGGTTCATGGTTCCCATTTAAAGAAAGCTCTAATACCTGGTGGGCAATCCATCGCTATCAGAAAATTAAAACTTATGACATCCCAAAAGCAGGTGACATCTGAGTAGACAGCTATCCCAAGACTCTGGACCAGGCCTGTACATTACAATTTCAAAAAAAATTTTTTTTCATCATACTTTATACTCTCCTATTCCTCTTATCCTATGATTGTTATACCAGCTCTACTATCCAAAGTTTTATTCACACATGTAACCCTGATCCTTGCATTTCTGATTGTAGAAATACTTGTCTATATTGGGGAGTTCTATGAATACTTAGGTGCCTAAATACTTAATATTTAAGGAAACTTGGCTATATGAGCATTTTATAGGATGATTAAGCCAGTTGAAATATTTGCGATATTACTCCTTCTGATTGGAATTCTCATGACTTTTGATCTTTGACACAAGGTCAGGCTTCTCTGCTGGTGGTAAAATACCCTCTTTAATAAACTCCAGTTCTTTAGAACTGGTTTAGGTTAACACAGATACAAATGTGAGTTTGCCTCACATTTGGTCCCAAAGCCCTGGAGCTCTTATATTAATTTCCCCAATAGAGATGGGCAATAAATCCACAGAAAATTCACAGCCCAAGTACAATCATATAATTTTTAGAAATCATTTGGTTGGGTTTCTGTCTATCCTATGGTGTCCAGTCATGGATGGACAACTCATGGAAATGTCTTTCTGCAGTAGGCACACTCATTTGCCCAAAATAAAAATCAATCCATCTGTTGAATATGTGGACAGCTTCCTCTCTCTAGCTTGTTAGAATGACCATGGTGGATACTACCACTTCCTGGGGGGTGATTGGAAGGTCCTAATGCAACACATCAAGGAAGAACATGCTGAGATTGGTATCCTTAGTACATCTGACATCAGTAACCCTGATTCAGAAGCCTGGCCTACAGCACACACTATTAATGACACAGGACGTAAGTATTCTTCTTCTGTTAACCAAACTATGCAGGCAGCCCACCAACTTGTTAACCAAAAGAATCCTAAAAATATGACTGTCAGAACCATGGGTGGCTATACCCACATTCGGGATGGATTTATGTGGTTTACCCCAGGATATGAACATTTGAACACCCAGGCACCCCTGTGTTGGGAACAACAACAACAAAATCACTCTAAACAGAACCAACCCAATTACATCCAAGATGTGGGATGGATATCTGGAACTTTGTGAGCATTCTGTTATACTGAAGGAAAGTGACTGGTTTGGCACCGATGGGTCACGCTGTCCAGGTGTTTACTGAGCAGCCCTGAATGGAGCTCAGTGGTTATGTGGCATGGATCTTAGGCCATGATTTCCACCTGGATGGTTAGATCATTGCACCCTGGCTTTCCCTGGGCATGAGGGAGAATTCATCCCACTGTCTTTGTTCTCTGTGTTGGCCAAGATGTTATGATGTATACAGAGGCTTTACCAAATTTACCCAACAAGCTTTAAATGACAGCCAACAAAGAGTATTGTGTGCTCTCACCCAATGAATCTGCTATCATGTCATCTTTACTAAATCGTATGAGAAAACAAATAGATGCCCTAAGCAATCCTTGTACATAAGTCATTTTATATCTGTGCAATTGCACCTGTAGCATAAATCCCCAGAAGTGTAATAGCTGAGTCAAAGAGTAAACGCCTTTGTAATTTTTATAAATATTGCCAAATTGCCCTCCCTAAGGATTGTAGCAATTTTCAGTCCTACATGACCTCTCCATTTGGTCTGGGTTTCCTCAAAGAATGGTGACTGGGTTCAAAAAACAAGCATCCCAAAAGAACCAGGTGGAATCTGCTTCCCCTTTTATGACTTAGCCTCAGAAGTCACAAAGTGTCACTTCTTCCGCAGTCACATATTCGAGGATTAGGGGTATAGATCTTACATCCCCTTGGGAGGTGTGTCAGTGTCACATTGTAAGAATAGCACATAGGATGGAAGATCTTTCATCTTGGGAAATTCAACTGGCCACACAACTTGTTCTGTTCTTTGTTACAAGCTTATAAATCTATGTAAAGTATAACTTGAACAAAGAGCTCTTCTAAGACTTCAAAAAATGATGAAATTGTTACCATGTCCCATGAAAAGAATTGTGCTAGATATTTTGTTTGCTCCTTTAGAACCACCTTCCACCAGTGTCCACTCTGTTCTGCACCCACGAGTGCTGGCCTCTATGGACTGCATCAATAAGCTCTCTTGTTTATTGCTCTCTTCTCATTGGATCCTTCCAACGAGTGGCACCTACAGAAGATAAGAAGTCTGGGAGAAATGAGGTCAGGATATTTATTCCCTGCCTGGATTATGGGCTGGTTTCTTTAGTCATGGCTTCCGTCTGAAGACCTTCTCCTATCCTATCCTTCCCTCACCTCTTTAGGATTAGGGGTAGCAATGGCTTCCCCCTGCTGCTAGCCCCGGAATGCTTCACTTTCTTTTGCTGGTTTCTCTTAACCCAGTCTACAACTCTGTAAACAGTCCCTTCATTAAACTCTCCTTAATTATGTGGTTTCAGTTTGTAGGGTTCTGACAAAATATTTTGTAAAACCTGTAATTCTGATGTGATCTTACTGTAAATAATTTTGTCACTGACATTTCTGTATTCCCAAAGAATGTAAATACATGTAAGACTCCTCTGTCAAATCATCCATGATACAGAAAAATAAAGGCCTAGATTTGCTTCTTTGATAGCAGTTAAGAAATTTGTCTCATTTAAATTAATGGCATTAAACAAGAAATTCCACATTTATTTAATTACATGTATGTAAATGCAACAAAGAATAAAGTATGAAGAGCTATAAGAGGGGAAACTGACTCTTCGGGTGGTGGAGGTTAAGGCTTCCCTGAAGAAAGACATTTAAGAAAACCGCAGGCAGGAGAGGGGCACATCTAATGCCAACTGGTAAAAGTCAGCAGTTACTCATCATTTGCTATGGGCCAGGTACTAGTCACAGATACTTCACCCATATTATCTAATTTGTCCTCAAACTACTCTGTGACATGGGTATTGCTTTACTGTCTTTTTCATAGATGATGAACCAAAGAATAGACTAGTTAGTAAATAAATAAGAGCGATTATACAGTTCATTATTGAATGAGTGGACAGGTATATGAAGAATGCTGTTCTGTGCAGAATTTTCAGAAGAAAGTCAAAGCCTCAAATTAATCCAAGAAATCTTTCTGCATCACGAAAATGCTCCAGATACCAAATAATCCCCAACCAATCTGTTCACTCATTCAACAGTATGAAATTAGTTCATACCCTGCACCAGATACCGTTGGGGCCACAAGGAATCAGCTGTTCCCTTGGAGCTCACGTTGTACTGAGCGGGGCGACAATAAACTGCTAGGCAGGGATTAAAACAGGGTGACGTGATGGTAACCGTGAATCTGCTTTGTATTTGGTATTCAGAAATCTGAACTATAAGGTCCGTCAGTTAATGGGCACAACTTGTGCTTTGGGTCGCTTTCTCACAAATTCGGTGGTTTACTCCCTTTTCCCCTCTTCCTCCTCTTTGCCGTCCCGACGGCGCTGACGCCGGGTCTCTCCTCCGGTTTTACCCGCACCGCCCAGGTGTCGCTACTCCACGCCCCTGCGCACAGGCCTGGCCCAATCGGATGCCGCCCAGGGCTGCGACGGGCGGTGATTGGTTCCTCATCTCCCGGGAGACGCAGAAAGGGGCGGGGTTTTCCCCCCGCAACCTGTGGCTGCAGGCTGCCGGAAGTGAGCGAGAGAGTCGGAAAAGTTATTTGTTGTCGCCGGAAGTGTGAGGGGTAAAGCGCAGCTGGTTGATGGCCGCTGAGGCTGAGGTTGAGAGGGTGGGTGGTAGGCTTTGCCCAGGGATTGGGGATAAGGGCGTCTGCGGCTAGAGGTTTGGCCTAGACGTAGAGGCGATGCCAGGGAGGGAGGCGCCCACACCGTGGGTCGGGACGGCGGTGAGGGCTCGGCCCGGACCGGCGGGACCGGCGGGGAACCGGCCCCGGCCGTCCCGCCTCCAGTCGGTCCTCCTCGCCGCAGGTGCGGGTGGACAGCGCGGAGGAGGGGGAGCTGCCCCTGGCGGCAGCCGCGGAGCTGGCCGCCCAGAAGCACGAACAGAGGCTGCGCAAATTCCGGGAGCTGCACCTGAAGCGGGTGAGTAGCCCCCGAGGAGCCGAGACCTGTCACCCGGGCGGCCCGTGCGCGTTGGTGGAGGGACGAGCAAGCCGCACCAGCGCGCCTGACCCGCGGTGCTGAAGCAAGATCTTTCCCGGTGGTTTCGACCCTGGTAGCACACTGGAATCACTCTAGAACTTTTTAAAAATGCTCATGCTTAGGTCTCACTTCTAGAATGTCTCACTTAATCCGTTTCTGGACCCAGACACTGGTTTTGTCTGTTGTCGCACAGCAAGTTGGCCACTCACTCATTCATCCTAACACCCTCCTCCCCACTCACCCCCGAGCTCCTGGTGTGCCATAACCAACTAGATAGGGTGGATACAGTGGTAAGTGTGGTAAGACTCCTGTCTGGTTATGGAGGCAGGTCCATAACCAAAAATTACTCCACGACTTGGTAATTGTATGTTAGAGGGAGGTACAAAGTGCCTCAGAAATTCAGAGAAGAAAAAGACAACTAAAGACTAATGGGACAGCTAAGCTGCTTGAAAGATGAGTAGGATATTATCAGATAAGTAAAGGAGTTGGGGGAAGAGGTGTCCAAGCAGTAAGAACAAGTGCAAAGGCAGAGTCCTCATTAGGGTGGGAGGCCTGTAGGCAGCGGGGGACAGGGTATGTGTGAGGAGTGTAGTTATCTGTATTTGCCCAGAAAAACTCAATTTAAAAGCTAGTCAGGCACACATACTTAATTTGAAATACTGTGTAAAGAGTAGGCTGGACGTTATGTGAAGACGTAATAATATAATTCAAACATCATGCTTTTGTAATCTTTAATAGATCACTGGATCTAGGTAATCAGTAACTGCAAACATCACAAAAAGGGAGAAGATCAGAGATTGTGTGTCTCCTGATAGAAGTATATAACACTAGTTCATATAAGTAGACTTGTTAAATATTACCTGAACTGAATGGAACCACTAGATCTAATGACCAATTTACAAGAAATACAGGGGTCAACGGAGCCTATTAAAGGACATCATAGGGAGGCAGCTAGCACTTTGGGAAATAGGACAGTCAGCCTAATCATTTTCACAGTCCTCAAAAGAGCAGGGGTAAAAAAGATGGAGAAGGAAACTGTAGATTAAATAAAACTTAAGAGATGTATTGACTAATCACAATATATGGAACTTGTCTGAATTCAAACTGTAAAAAATAATGAGCACTTGAGACCATCAGGAAAATGTGAACATTACAGGATAAGAATTATTTTGGGAATGTGATGGTGGTATTGTTAAAAAGGTATCAAAGGGGCGCCTGGCTGGCTCAGTCAGTGGAGTATGCAACTCTTGATCTTGGGGTTGTGATCAAGCCCCATATTGGGTGTAGAGATTACTTAAAGGAGATATTAAAATATTCATAGATAGGGGGAAAAACAGCCAGAAATCAGGAAATTTGGTCTTGGTCTAACTCTGCCACTAACTCTGTGATCGAAAAACTTTCTCAACTTCATAAATATTAGATTGGAGTCTCTCTCCCATCACCTTCACAGTTTATACATGTGACCACCTGTCCACTTGCTCAGTGTTTATCTTTAAATTGCTGTTTAAATGTAATATTACTATTTAAGATAGGAATTTTACATTTTTATGTCTTTATATGTTCTCTTT